AAAAATAGATGTAACTGCAAGCATCATAAAAACATACACTGCAAAAGAAACATAAACATCTAAATGGAAAGAGAAGGAAATATAACAGAAGTGCTACTAGCATTTGTCTTAAAATGACCTGTGTCTGAGTCACGAATTATACTAAAAATATTGCAACTCTACTCCATGTTTCATAGCTGTACAATCCATTTTTTATTTGTAACACTTCCATATTTCTAATTTTATACTTATTTTTTGAGGAATAAAAAAATGAAACAGCAGTCAAAATGTTTTATCAATTGACACGTTATATGTTATTCTGGTATACTAAAAAGATACACTGATTTTTATAAAATATAAGGAAAAGAGTAAAAGTTACCAGTATATCGTTATAATGAAATTTGTTTGGGAATGATTGTTTTTAAGTGAAAAGAGTGAGCTCCAAACAAACTAGTGTGTATTTTTCAGTTTATTGAACAGAAGCCACTGAAAAAAATTGAAAATGAAAAAAAAAAAGAATGCTAATAGGCAATTCACTCTATTTCATACAATTTCTTATGTTTTCATTAGTTACATTATTTTTAATGTATCTTTTCATTAACTGAAAATGGAAATATTTGAATTTCAAAACAATTCATCTTAAACTTTTCTTGTGCCTACCTCTTGAGTCATAACAGATATCAGATTGCATGTTTGAATTGGCATAAGGTAATGAATGCAAAAAAAAAAATCATACACACACACACATCAGAATTATAAAATTATGATAACAGAAAATACCTCAATTAATCAAATCAATGGACTGGCTCATGTATGAACACTGAGGCCCAGGTCACACAAAGGGAAGAGAACAAGCCTATCTAGGACTTATTTAACCATCATTATAGCATCAGCATTAGTATATTCAGAGCCCTGTTTCCAAGAGTTTTTGTTATCTGGAAAAATGACTGCTTCCTAGATTAAAAGCTAAAAGATCTAACTGTAGATTCATTCTTTCATTGCTTACCTCATTGCAATATTATATGATTCAGGGTGGATGCATGTTTGATCCAAAGGATTTGGCTGCTGAATGACATTTGCTCCAGCTTTGGTTTTCTTTTTACACTGTTTCTCATTTGTAGCTACTTTATGGCCCCCAGCTGCAAGCTCACTCTGTTGACTGAGGTCCAAAAAGAGAAAAGGATGTAGTTATCATTAAACTAGTGACCATCGTATGTATCTTTTTCACTCCTGCCCAATGGGCAAAGCTATAAAACCTCAAACTCAATATACAAATTCTGCAGACATTGCTAACAAATGAGCATGAGCTTTATAATTAACAAATCTTCAAAAATTCTGCATACAGTGGACCTGAAGAGCTTTAATTTAATATTGGTATTTGTGTCAATCTCACTTGAAACTGGGAGGAATTTTTTTTAAAAAATAGGCTCAATATTTCAAGCACAGAGCATAGGGTAAATGTGCATAAAGGCTTTGGTTCATCCCACAACATCTTCAGCTCATGAAGCATAGTGCAATTGTAGAACACATGGCTTGCATTTTGAGGGCACCAGATTCAATTTCTGACAACCTCAAGTAGCCTGAGAAAAACCTTGAAACGACATTGCTGGTCTGTAGAGCCAATATTAAGCTAATAGACAATGGTTAGAATTGTTATAAAACAGATTCATATGTTTTCTATAAAAGGATCAGACATCAGACTGGGAATCCCTCTGCTTTCTTCTTGATAACTGAAATAACTTTTCTTTTTCCTTGTTTTGTGTGGGTGAGTTTGTTGGCTTAAAATCTTGATATGTTGAATCAGTGTTTTATTATTTTCTTATATTGTGCACAGCCATTGTATCTTATAATCCCACTTTATATGCCAAAGAAAACTGCACTTATAAACTTACTATTACACAGCCACAAGTGGTGCGTGCACAGAGCTATTATCAACTTATATTTTTATTTAATTTTTATGGCTTTTCATTGAAGTCCAAGACCAGTTTTAGATTGGAAGATATGACTCCATATATTAAAAACATATGTATCAAGATGAGAGCCAGAATTCATTGCACTGCCTTACAATGGTTTTTTTCCCCTTCTGTGTAGACCATACCAACTGCCCCTCAAAGATAGGTACAGCTTCATAAGATATCTTAGGCTCGCTGGTGCAGCAAGCTCAAAGGTATTAATATGGGGGAAGGGAAGTGTTTTTAAGATATCTCTATATCTAAGGTTGGGTCAACCTTCAGCTTTTGAAATGAGCCCTTGTGCTTAGTTCCAGAGTGTGTTCAATCAAATTGCTATTATATTTCTGTTCTGCTTAAAATTTAATTGAACTGTCATTTGGTGTTTCTTTCCTTGGAAATGATGAGAAATTTTATTATGACATATAGTCTTTACTTGCCAGAGAGTATCTATAGCTGGGCCAAAGTCAAAATGGCATTGTAAGACATAGTTACATGCAAAAATGTCTATGGTAGTTACTACTATTGAGGGCTGCAACATGTGGGTGGGATAATGTGGAAAAGGAAGAGAGGAAAGAGGCTCTGTTTCTGTTTATTCTCTCCTTCCACTCCCACTAGAATTTCTATGATGTGACTCTACATTCTCAGATTTAGTTTTATTTACTACATTTTATAGTTTCTTTGTCAAAGGAAGCAATATTTATTAGAGTTAGATGGATCTATATCTCATCTTTTAGGATATAAATCCTTCCAAGGTGACTCATAAGTAACATTTACTATTTTGTAAATCCAAAACAAATGGAATCAACATATAACAACTCAGCAAGTCTTCCCATATGGCCGTTGATGAGGATGGATGGGAGGTGGGAGGAGTGCAAAATCAGTGGGAAAAGACTGCCTTGTCTCCCTCCTTGTTTATTTCATTAGCAAAAGAGTTGATAATATCTAAAACCTGAGTTATGAACTTCACAGCTGAGCTGAGATGTGACTCTGGGACTCTACTCCCTACATCACATTGCTATTCTATGAAACCTTTTATGCTGTGGTTGAGTAAATGGCAGACTACATATTACTTTTCATCCTGAATGCAGACTCTCAAGACAAAGATTCTAACTTATTGCCTGCTGGGATCTTTCTTTTATCAAATCTCTGCTTACATGTGGAAGATAAGTGATCAGCCCCACACCTTTTTATATTACCTGCAGAATGTTCTGATATATTCCTGGTTGATCCTGATAAAGCCAGCACATTGTTGAAAGGATTTTGGCCCCAGTCCTTTGACATCTTTAAGCTGTTCCCGATTGACAAATGGTCCATTTTTCTCTCGCCATTCAATGATGTTTTTAGCTCTGTTAGCATTCAGTCCTGCAATATGTCTAAGAAGCATAATGAAAGATTTGGAATTACGTTCCAAAACAAGTAAGTTCCCTTGAAACCAAGGTGGTTGAGCTGAAAATGGTTAGAGAGTCAGATTGGTATGTAGAAGACATCTTTTGGGATGTGATAACTTTGTCCTACTCTCAAGATAAAAACTTACTTGCCATTAGGGAGAACAGAAGTGTTGGGAAAAGATAACACTGTTATGAGATGAGGTATTGCTATAGGGAGATTCAGTTCTTAGGTGAGGAGTCTAATAGTGAAGATTTTAATTTGGGGGTGGAGGGCTTTTAGTTGTAGGTGATTTGATCATAAGACACTGATATGTGGTGAGACAGAAGTGTTATGGAACCTACAGAAAACAGTGACTATAATGCTGTTAAATTTAACATACATAAAAATGGGAAAAAGCAAACAGAGTCACATTTGACTATAAAATAGGGAACTACTGAAAAATGCAGAGCATTGGTGAAAAACAGACTGAAAGGAAAACTAATGAGGGCCTAATCTCTTCATAATGCCTGGAAGTAATTTAAAGCCACAATGATTGATGCCCAACTGGAATGTATTCTACAATGTAAGAAAGATTTAACCACAAAAAGACCAGCATGGCTTTCCAGAAATTTCCAGGAAGCTATAGGAGTTAAGAAAACTTCCTTCAAGAAATGGAAATCTTATTCAAGAACAAAATGGAACATCAACTTTGACAGAAAAACAGTAATGTGATAATAATGCAAAAATGGAATTCGAGGACTATAAGGCAAAAGCACATTAAAGGAAACAACAAAAACTTCTATCAATATATTCAAAGCAGAAAACTGGCACAGAAGTGGTTGGGTCATCAGACAACATAGCTGTGAAGTGAACATTCAAGAGATTGCAGAGAAACTCTGAATGAATTATATGCATATGATATAAAATTGCATAGGAAAGTTATCTGAGCCTGTGTTAACTTTATCAGGAGGGAATTCAGACAAATAAATCAAATTGAGGAAACAAGAGAAGTTATTCTAGGACATTTTGAGAGACTGCACAGTAACGACTCACCAGATCCCAACGGCATCCACCCAAGAGTTCTTAAAGAACCTCAGAGGTGAAATTGTTGAACCCTCAGAAAAAAAAATTGGTTCAGAGGACTGGAAGGTAGCTAATGTTACACCAGTTTTAAAACAAAGGGATTTGGGAGATTATAGGCTGCTTAGCTTAATGTCTGTTCCAGGAAAATTGGTAGAAATATGAATCAAAGAGAAAACAACGAAGCAGTCAAAGAAGCAAGTCCCGCTGAAGGAAAATAAGCATGGATTCCACAAAGCAACTACTGCCTCAATAAACCTCCCTGCTGATCACCTTGGAAACAGCAGCTTCTTTCTAGCTTACTTGTATCATCTGAGCAAAGTACACAGAAGAGAGACTTTTTGGTGGCAGCTTCATCATTCTGAAATAGTTTAACTCTCAAGGTCTGGATGCCGCCCCCTTCCCCCATTACTAGTTTGCAAGGTGGCAAAGATGGTGCTTTTCTGTCATGCATTCTGTCTCTTTGGGCAGTTATTTTTAAGTAGTTTTAAATTTGATTTTATCTGTACTTGAGCTTATATTTAAATTATATTTGGTTGGATTTCTTGGTCTGGTCTACATAGTTGGGCTGACAGCTGCCCAGAATCTTATGAATGAGGACAGGATATAAACCTTGTAATAAAGAAATGCATTTTACAAATTTCTATGCCAGAAACAAGCCATGGATGGCTATTTCTAATTTGGCTGTGCTGTTGGTGCAAGGAAGTGGGAGAGCATTGAGGTGTGTACATTCATTGCTAAGTAATAAAGAAAAGCTTGACATTATGTCTTGATACAGTCTTAACTTTAGCTCTGCTCATGGAAGGTGATTCCATTTACAGAGCAAGTGTTGCAGGCACAGGAATAAAAAACTTGTGTCCAAGGTAGTAGTCAAAAGATATAGAACCCCTGTACAAATTCTCTGTGATTTGAAACTATCTAACTGAAAGAGTAAAAGTCTTCAAGCTCACCTTAGTAATGTTTCTGAGCAGATGTTAATGTCAACTCCTACGAAGCTGACACATTCCTCCACCACACTGTCCAGGGTTGCTTTGAGCAGGGTCTGAGATACATCATGCTGTGAATTGGGAAGGATAGAGAAAGAGAAATCCAATAACAGTTGAGTAGTATTTGATTACTGTAGGATGGAAACCATTCAGAAATGAGAATTCCAGAGAATGGCAATATTAATAAAACATTGGTGGGTATAATATCAACACATAAAAGAACCCAGGAGATGAACATCTGATATACTGCCACTGTTTGTATTGTGGAACTGGTTGAACTCATTTGAATTTAGTTTTAAACTGCACATCCCCCCTCTAACCAGTTTTCAAGAACTCCAGATAGGCGCCATCTATATGACAAACAGTCTATCATGTTTCCATGAAAAACAGACTCATAATGGGGCCAGACACGTGTCTATTTTATGCAGTTTTCTCTAAAAATGAAAAAAGAGGAAATGAAGTGTTGGTTTTGCATATGTGTGTTTCCTCTAATTTTCAAATTATAACATAAATTTGCAGCAAAGTATTTAAGAAAGTATTCATATTACAAACTTTTAAATTCTGTAGATAACAGTACAGAGGTTTATGCTAAAGCTTTATAGTAAGATTACCTAATAGTTTGATAGATTTGATATAAAAACATTAAAAAGAAAATGTGAAACAGAAATATAATTCTCACTGTTACCAGCATATAATAACTGACAACTTGTAACAGTAATAGCTGATAGATACCAGGGAAGGGGGGTCGAGGTTAAAAATAATGCATAGACCACCAAGATCATTTTCCCACTTAATTTGTTTCCCGCTTCTGCACAATATATCATTAATAGCCTGTGCCTATTAATTTATTATAAAAGCTGCAAACGAATAACCTGAATCAAATCCAACTGAAAGCCAAGTAATTGGATGGAGATATGCCTAAATGAGGTAACAGGAGGGGAAAGTCTTTGGAAGGAGAAGCAGAGAACTGGATTCAGGTCCATGCCTAACAACTGACTGGTGGAATTCCAATATCCTTCAGGGAAAAACACACAGAAACACACGTACAGAATGCTGTGTGCTTATATACATGTTCAGTTTGGGGACAGAAGACAGTTGCAACCTGTTAAAATTATTAATTTTAAATTAATTGGTATATCATCATTAGGTGACTTTTTGAAATGTTATAAAAGTATAAAAGAACAATTTACAGTTTAGTGCACCAAAGCTGCCAGAAATTTTTTAAAAAGTCCCTCTCAAATATTTTCTTCTTTTTTCCCTGCCAGAGTAATATAGCCAAATATTGACTCATAAAATAAACAGAGGTACCTGGTTAAATCAAAGCTTTGTCAATTACACTTCACCAGCCCTAAGAGAAATGCTTCCTACTACAGGTAGTCCTCAGTTAACGTTCAGTGACTGTTCAAAGTTGCGATGGCACAACTCATGACTGATCCTTGAAGTTCCGGCCCTTGCACCACCCCCACGGTCACATGATTGTGATCCGGACACCTGGAAAACAGCTCACACTTATGACAGTTGCAGCGTCCTATGGTCACATGATCGCCATTTGTGACCTAGCCTGCCAGCTTCCCACAAAGTCAGTGGGGAAACCAGCAGGGAAGGTTGCAAGTTGCTCCTGCCAATTTTTCTCCTGAGGAGCCCCGCTATGGAGTACGAGATCCCAGGATTCCCTCCCCAGCCCACAAGCACTCACGCAGTGCTGCAACAACCCCCTCGCCTCACTCCATAGTACTCATCCGTCCTCCGGCCTGCTTGTGAGCCACTTGAGACTTGCAACTTGCAGCTGGCTTCCCACTGACTTTGCTTGTGGGAAGCTGGTAGTCACATGAGGTCCTCACTTAATGACCGGTGATTTTTGCTTAATGACTGCAAGAATTGCCATCGCTAAGCAATGTGGTCACACAATGCCATGCTTTATGACTGCATCCCTTAGCGACAGAACTTCCAGTCCCAATTACCATTGTTAAGTGAGGACTACCTGTATCTTGAAAACTATATGAAGGTGACCACATTGTCACCAAGCACTGAGTTTGTCTCGAGGGAGTTTTAATACCTTCACCAAGCTATTGCCTTCAAAATGTGCCAGAATTCCAATACTTGGAACTGCCAGCCAGCTAGGCTACTATTTCTGAGCTGAACATTCCTTTTTTTAATTTTTAGTATATATATATTTTTAGCCATGCATTTCAAAACTTGCCACATTCTTATATCTGCCTGAATTCTATTTTTTCTATACAGAGTACACACACCTAGAACAACAATAAATCTGAACACTACTACACAAGCCTTCCTGAGCCAAGGAGCTTGAATGCTTTGTAAATTGAGGACTTAATACAATCACCATGTTGTTCTTACAAATCACTCATAGAAATCTGAGTTGATCTGTAATGGTTTTGTGATGCATCTTTTGGAGAAATTATGTTGGCTTCTACCCAGGATCTCACATTATTTCATCCAATAGTTCATCTTCTAAGCCCTTTTAATGTTATTTTAACAATATAAGACATGTTACCACATCAAATTCCATTGAATCATATTTGCACTTTGTTAAATTGAGGTTAATAGTGGATTATCTCTAACAACTTCCAATAATCTCCCATTCCTTTATCACAATTTATCAGATCTAAGCATACAATCATTGTGATGTACAGCAAAATGGTAAGATACACATGATAACCAATAGTGGAAAATGTGTGTTCCTCAGGGTTGAAATGTTGGGATCTTGGTGTTCGCTAGCTTAGTTGTTTTTTTTCTTGCAATGTTTCATTACCAAACTAGATTAACACAGTCAGCGCACCAATGATGTTACCTAGTTTGGTAATCCCCTTCATGGATCACTGCCTTGTCGTGGCGAAGGGGCTCGCGTAACTCAGTGAAGCCAT